CCCTGGAGATGATGCAGTAGCTTTAAAATTTCCCAAGCAGGGGAGACCATTAATGCATTTATTTCTCCATAACACAAATACTTCTACATTAGTATGATATATAGAAACCCTTATTGTTTGGACTTGTGAAATGCTTTGAGATTATTCAGACGATTTGACATAATTTAAGTTTTAGTATTAATTAGATCAGAAGACTAGGATGAGAAGTGGTCTCTAAAATATTCCTCAAGATAGAGAGTTATGGGAAATTCAGAGAATGTGTAAAAACTCTGGATTCTCTGAATGGACCAGTCCCAGAGCTAGCTCCAAACCTGTATGACCCTGTTTCCAGGGTAAAATACTTTGGGATAAGTAGGTCGAGAGGAAGATAATAGCTGAGATCTATCTGGAAACTCAGAATTCTTCGTATATTTACTTAAGAAATTCAAAAGAACTTTTCTGAAATATATTTTACCTTTGTAGGTGCCTTTGAGCTCATTCGGGTTTTAGCCTCTAGAACATAGTAGTTATATCATAATTTTCATACAGTTTTAACAGGTGGGCATAAATACAGAGAGGATAAGAAACTCAAAAGGGCCAATGAGATTAAATATTATATATTCACAATATGTACATACATATACATGTATGCACAGATACACAATTCCATAATTAGCTCACCCTTATTTAGTATGCTCTTGATTGGCTGGGCCACCCAGAAGTCTGGTGCCCCCTGGTGGTCACTGAATCATCACAGATCTCTTGACACCTAAAATACCACTGGATTAAGAATTGAAAAATGGAAAGACTAGAAAACTTGAAAGCATGTAGAAGTGATTTGAATAATTTAAGCCAGGTCTTCTTATAAGCACTGACAATTTATGGAAAAATTAGTGCAGGTACTGGAAACAAAGGACCTTCTCAGGCAAAATCAAATTTGAAAAAAGAAATTATTAAGAATAGTAAATTTAAGTTAAGTGATTTTGAGTATTTTGTGCCACATTTCCCCCGTCATTTTCATGTCTTTTAATATCAATCCAATAATAAAATTCATTTGAGTCAACACTTGATATTTTAAGTGATCAGAAAATTTGAAAGGAAATTTGAAGGGAATTCTTACAATTTTTATCAAGATAATACTTTTAGTTGTTTAAGCTATCTTAAATCAACCCAAACAATTGCAGTTGAACAGTTATGATAATAATATTCTGATCTTTTTCCCACATATCTGACCTTACAAAAGTAAGTGGAATTTCATAAGGACACAAAATACGGTCATGACTTTTTTTATTTGATTCCTGATTTCCTGTACTATTAGCTAAATCTGAAGCTGAGAAAAATAAGTGAAATTATTACTATATCTTTGAGTTTAGCTTTTATACAATTCTTACATTAGACTGCAAATAAATATTTTATATACAGTACATAAATCATGCTAATGTAAATATGTAAATGATTTTTCTGCACAGTGGAAAGATTGCTTACATGTTGACTGAATTCACAAGTAGAGAACCCAATTTTATATAATATCTATTAACTGAGACATAATGTTTCTTTTCTGTTTATAATTAGTTTATTCTACATAGTACTTTTCGTAATTCAGTTTAAATTACCCCTTTTTCTGTGATGAACTTGCATTTTCACATTGTAAATACATTTATAAATGTATTTAGACAGAAAATACCAAAGTAGTAGGTTGAGAAACAGCCCTTTGGTTTCATTGTTGTTGTTGTTAACTGTTTACTTTAAGAGCCTTGGATTTGTAACTTGCTGAAATCTCCAGTTGTTTCTTTACCCTGTAAAAGAACATTACTACACACACACACACACACACACACACACACACACACACACATACAGCCTGTTCTTTTATTTGAAAATTCATAGAACTTACTCCCTGAAGTTATTATAATTTACTTCTAAATAACTATTTCTGTGATAAAATCAGAGGATATTTCCTAGAGGTACTAGTATGCTGAATATTAGTGTTATTATAATAAGTTAAAAGAAAATAGCAGCTGTACCTTCATTTGGGAGGGATATCTTGAATTTACCAATTTATTTTCACAAATGTACATTTATGTGTAATTAGTAGTAACTGTATAACGCAAAGGATATAAAAATTGGAAGTATACTCCTTGCATCAGAAGACAGGTATTTTTTTTTTTCATTCCAATGCATTTTATGATAGATGTTACAAAGGAGGAGATATACATACAAATATTTTAGTTTTAGACTCTTTTTTCATTCATTTAAAATTTGCTAAGTGCATGTTGACTTTTTGAATTGCATTGTACAATGAATACATAAAGACTGAAACCTGTTTTCAGAATTTATGGTTTATCTCACTTGTGTTGGTTATTTACATCATTTGGTACCACTCAAGAAAACTGATTATTTTTTAATTCAACTTAAACCTATACACACTTTACTTTTCTCAAATTTGTTCTAGAAATATTATGCATAAAATATATATCAAGCTAAATAAAATTTTTTTCCAATTGATTTGAGAAATTCACCATTGTTACTTTAAAATCTGAAACAATTTTGCTATTTTTTTTACTTCAGTGGCTTTATGTAGAAATAGATTTATATGCTTTACTGCTAATCAAATACAGTATATGTTTGTACATTAAAACATATGTTGCATAATATTGTATAATACACAATCTCTTCTTGACTGTCATTTTTTAATCAAATGCTGTGACTTCCTTATCAATATGCTGATACACTACAAAAGAAAGGTGTTTGGTAAATGTAAAACTGCATATTATTGTACAGTTCTGCAGGGAGAACAGTCAGCAGCCTGGCACATGTATAGTTAATGAGAAGCTTCTTGTCTCTAAAAATAAAATTGGGTCTGCACATGCCCCTATGTCTGACAGAGAGGGGAAGCAATAAGGAGACTCCCTATACCACTCATAATCATCAGAGAAGAAAAAAATATTACTTGTTTTCTGATTTTAATGGAAGAGTATTTGTATTCACATCACTGAGTATTAGTCATTCAATAGATAAAAGGAATATTTTAAACTTTAAAGGCTACCTTAGTGTCACTTTAAGAAGTGGGGATGAGACCCCAGGGGAAGTGCTCAAGTCCTGGAGAATTTATTTTGACGATTAGAAGTGGTTTAATATTTGGGAGTTCGTGGTTCTGTGCATTTTAAAATCTATGCATGGAAATCTATGTTTTTAACTCTAATGTTTTACCTTATAATTTTGACACTATTTGGGTATATTTGTGCTTCATCTTCTAACAAGTGTGCTATACCTATATTGTTTTGTCTGTTTTCAAGATTAATCTATTATGTGGTTTACATTTTCTATGCATCTTTCAAAAGGCACTTGAGATGCTTTTATTATATTTTCTAAAATATTTACTAGGTGTAATGGCTAGGAACATGTAACATTTAAAAAATAAAGTACAGACTCAAAGAGGTTAGAGAGGAAATTTTATTTCTCTCCTCTGTGTAATTTAGTAGGCAACTAACAACTACAGAGACGATTTACCATTAAAAAAAAAAAAGTCAGGGTACTGTAATTCCTGAGAAATCTTAAGTATACATACCAAAAATAACCCAATTTAGTTTATGTTTGTAAATAAGTCAGATAGAAAGAGTTTGGAGTCTTAGACAGGATCAAACTTTGTGTCTTCAGAAATAAAGGTAAATAATGAATGAATGAGAATTTTTTTAAAGGAAGAAGTATAGAATAAGAAATAAAAAGATGCTCAACTTAAACATATGATCAAATTACTCTATGACTTTTAAAACTGATGATTTGGCAATTAAAGTTTTAAAGTTCTTTCTCTTATTATATTACCCACCTCTTGAATGCAAAGTGTCCAAAACTGTATAATGGAAAACAGATTTCTCTAGGCAGTTATCCTTTCTGTTCGGGTTGGATGAATTCAACTGGAAATGGTTACATTTTTATTCTCAGTTTTCTTTTGAAACATACTCATAGAATAATTATAGCATAATTACGGAAAACAGTAAATATTTGAGAAAAATCAAGGTCTGGCTTTATGGATTTGATACATGGCAGCTTTCTTTAAAATTAAGAATAATTTTTGCAGCGAAATGGGAAATGATCAAAGTGGAAGAATCCAAGAAAAACCTCAGAAAATGATAAAGATGTAAGAAAAATGATACAGAATTCTGTGAAGGTTCCTTCTTAATGTCCCACTTCAGTCAACCAACTATTGTGAAATGATAGGGCGGAGATGAAGGGAAGCTTAAAACAAAAGACTTCCTTTCTCTATGCCTGTTTCTTTTGCCAAGGGTTGTTGCAAACTCTTGAAAACACTGTTTAAACATAATATATTTGGGTACTTTTAGTCTTCCAGGGATTGTGTGTGTGTGTGTGTGTGTGTGTGTGTGTGTGTGTGTGTTGGGGGGGGGGGGAATCGTGCCCCAAGTTGACTGCCCTTGAAGTAACAGAAAAAGAAAAATCTAAACTTTTCAAAAATGGCAAAAACCAAAGTTACCCGACTCGCGGAGGTTGGAACAAAAAAGTAAAAGACACTTTATTTAAAGGCACAGCTCATTTCACTGTCCGGGCTGCACGCTTGGTAGCTGAGAGATGGCTGGCTTTGCGTCTGGTTTCTAAAGAACCACGAGGAGCAGAGCTATGGACAGGATTGTAAATTGGGAGCCTTATTTTCGACTTATTCGGCTTCACAAAAAGCTGCTGTTGCTAAAAGCATAGCGCCCACAGCCGCACACCAGTCGGCTGCCATCCTCATCCTCCCTTTCGAGCATCCAGCGCGAGCAGAGCCAGAACCTGGAGGGAATCCTGGACCCGCAACCTGATTCCGCTCTGCGCCGATTGGCTCGTGCTTCGGACTCCGCCCCCGAGGTTGAGGCTGCCGTTTCGCTGGGACCCGCCCCTCGGCCCTGGGAATCGCCTCCTGGCAGGCCGGCTGTGCTTGCCACTCAGTCAGAGTGGCGGAGGCTCTCGGATCGGAGCCCCGCCCTCTCCCCCCTAATTGATATTATTGGAGTGTGGAGCAAGCGGCCGGTCTGCAGTCGGAGACTTGCAGGCAGCAAACACGGTGCGAACGAACAGGAGGGGGGGAAATAAAAAAATCTAAACGTGGAGCAGCCGGCCTGGGACCGAGAAGGGGAATCGATGCAAGGAGCGCAGTAATAATAATAGAAACCCACTTCGGAGTAAACAGCATTTTAAAAAGCTGCGACTCAAGATAACTGAAACCTAAAATAAAACCTGCTCATGCACCATGGTTTTTCAAACTCGGTACCCTTCATGGATTATTTTATGCTACATCTGGCTGCTCCGCTTTGCACACACGGGGGAGGCGCAGGCTGCGAAGGAAGGTAAGGCGATGGGAAAGCAAAGTTTGTTCTGACTTATTTATTTAGCTGTCTACCTGCACGAGCCGGCTCGTCCGCGGCGCTGCCGGCCGCGCCTCCGGCGCCGGTCGACCCTCCCCCGCCGGCTCTCCGCCCCCTCACCGCTCAGGCAGCTCCTGGAGGACTGGCAGGCAGCTAGCCATGATTGCTGGAACCTCCTGCAGCCCCGTGCCCGGGGCCGTCTATCCGGTGGGAGCGAGATTTCAAGCGCTGGCAGTCCGGAGGGCAGAAGCGGCTTTGGAGGGTGCAGGGGTGGGGTGAAAGGGACGGCCGGTGAGCTCATTCCCTAGGACCTCGGGCGGTTCACATCTCTCCTTTCACCCCTTTCCTCCTCTCCCTTCTCACTGTGTCACCTCCTGTGGGAGCTGCGGCCAGAGTTGGGTTGGAGACTGAGGAGCGCAGCTCCTAGCGTTCCCACCAGCCCTCCAGCGAGCGGCGGGAGCCTGGAGCCTTCCCAGAGTGCCTGAGACTTTTGTGAGCTCCGAACATTCGCGTTACTAATGAAGTGCTCACTGCGTCGGTGGAGGCGGCGCGGGCCTGCGGTTGGCGCTCGGCCGCCGGCGCGGAACAATAACGCCTAGAAGGTGAAGCGGGGCGCGTGCGCCCCGCACCCGGCGGGCGGGGATGTCTCCATTCAGGGCGCTAAGCGCGCGGGGCCCAGCGACCGTAGGGCAGCGGCAGCCCAGCGGGCACTGTAGGGATGGGATGCAGGGGTTGGGCTGGAGCTGTGCAATTTGTGATGAGATGCCGCTGGGTGATTAGAAGTCTCCAATCATTTGACCCAGAGTCCTGCAGTACAAGTGGCCAAACCTTGAGGAAGATCTAGGGTTAGTTCTTGTGGGAAGATCAGGTTTCATTTGGCCAGCTAGACACGCCTGTGTATAGTTATTATTTTTATTTTTCCTTCGTCTTTGAACCATTGACAAAAGGTAAAATACCTTTCGGTGCCTGTAGTTGGAGCTGAGGAAAAATAAATCCTGTCAATGGAAGTGTCTTGCTTCTGATCAGTGTCACAACCCCCAACCCCATCTTCCAGGCCATATCCATGTGTGTGTGTGTGTGTGTGTGTGTGTGTGTGTGTGTATTTTAAGCAAAATACGAATAACAAGGCTAGCGAACTAGTCTTGTTTCTGAAGTGTGAAGTGCAAGAATCTGTTGGATTTAGGTCATGGTGGTAATAAAGAAGGGGAGTAGTATGGGTCCTCGCTATTTCTATTCCTGAAAACTGAGTGATTTGGTGCTGCTTTTTTATTTTCTTCGTGCACTCCTCTTCGTTCATTGAACACCCCCCCAACCCAGTGCCATATTCTACTCTTTCAAATAGCCTGACCTTGTGACCCCAGTCTGCACATCTGCATTCTCTGTTGGCGCTGAATCCATTGAGAGAAAACCTTGCCTCTGAGCTAATGGTTATGTGTTTGCAAAGGGACCGACCTCTAATACAAATAATAATACAACCATACATACTAAAATCCACATTTGGATTCTTTTAACATTAGTGATCAGAAACATGAAGCCCTGTCTTCTTGTCGTGATTCCTTCTGAGTAGCGGGACCGGAGGAAAAGTTTACACCGCCGCGGCAAAGACCAGCGCGCGAGCACACACAGACTCCAGCAGGAGTTTGAGCTATAAATAACTGCATCACTAGGGGGAGAGGTTCCTGCAGCCAGAATGTCTCGCTCGCTTGGCTCTTCTGGGTGCAAATTACGTGGAGTGGATTCTGATTCTAGGAGCCTGCATTTTCTAAATGCAGGAGTGAGATGTTTAGGAGCCTGCATTTTCTAAATGCAGGAGTGAGATGTTTAAGACCGGTGGAGGGGATTGCTCTATGGTGGGTGGTCGGCAAGTGCGCCCGACTTCTCTGTCTAAGCTCCCCGTGCTCAGTGGTGATCAAGAGCTGGCGTTCTGGGAGCGAACTAGCTTCAAGGTGGCCCGCGGCGTCGTGGCACACAGGGGTAAGCGCCATGAGCGCCTCAAGCAAATATTCAGTCTCTAGGATGGTTCGAAGTGGCTGGAAGAATAAAAGGGACCCCCCTGCCTCTACTCTCCCCACGCACTTTCTCTCGCGGAGGTCAGTTTCCCTTCCCGCTACTGGAAGGGCGGGTATAAGTCAGTCTGACGCCTGGAAGCTAAGTGCAGCTGCTGCTTTTCTTTTCTGTAAATGTAGCCGCCACTGTTCCCTCAGAGGAGACGCTTCCCGAAAGCGTCTCTCCTGCTCCCGGCTCTTCCTGGAGCAAGGGCGCCACCGGCTCCCTGGAGTGCCCAGGTCTGGCGAAAGCCTAATGGATGCTTGGCGCGGCTGGCGCGCCGGTCTCGAGCCCCCGCCCCGCCCCGCCAACGGCCCCGCCCCGCCCCCGGCAAGCCACCGCTGCCCGCGCGCAGCCCTGGACTGGCTGGGTCCCGGCGCGCTTGCTTCTAGCTTCCGTGCACCCACCCACGCCGGCCCGCGGGGCAGGTTGGGGAGCTAGTCAGCCCTGAACCTGTGTCCCGCGTCCGGATCGGCTGCGGGGATGTGCCTCCGTGGAGATAAGGGAGGATAGCTCTTGGTACTCCCAACAGAAAGGATAAAGCACGCACTTGGGGTTTATCCTGAGAGTGGACCCGGGGAAGTGATATACCGATCACTTGAGAGCTGCTTCTGATTAAAAGCTCTGTGGTCGATTTTTTTTGTTGTTGTTTTGTTTTGATATGTTGGTTGCTCTCTTGTTTGTCATCACCACCCTACTGTGGCCCTTTGCTCCCACCAGTGGGCTGATCTGAGGGGTGATGAAATGGCTATGGCAGTAAAGGATAATCGCAATGTTAATTTCATTCCCCCAAACCACCCGAGAAGGTCACCTGGATTTTGAATCCAGTTGTCTATTGTTAGTGCGGAAACAAACAGTTTCAAAAGAAGATATCAGGAACCCACAGTTTCCTTGTGCTTTATTTCTCTTGCTGAGGGTACAAATAAACTTTAAAATTTACTTTTCACTTAAATTCACTAATCCAACGATTTGTTAATGGTGACAAATGGAAATACAGATTGATATGTTCTAAGTGTGTGAGTGTTTCCTAATTGAAAGGAAGTCGAATGTTTGTGGTTAAGGGTTTTTTTTTTTTTTTTTTTGTTTTGTTTTTTGAGACATAGACTCCCTGACAGTCTTAAGTGTAAAACACTGAAACAAAAACTGATGTCTCTATGTCTTATCTTCAGTTACAGGAAATAACTTTGACGTGTGTGAAGCAGTTGAACACATAATCAAGGGCTCCTTTGTTTTCTCAACACGTTTTCATTACCTTTCAAGTAGTACACACTTTCCCTCTAGTGATTGAGAATTGTTCAGTATTTAAAAAGCTCATTCAACTACATATTTTTAAGTCAAAATTTTAACATTTTGCTAGGGTTAACGTTAAGTATATTTACATACCCCAAAACATATGTTCATATGATTTCTGACCAAATTAATGAATTTGCCAAAATACAGTAGTCAGATAAATATTTTTAAATCCATTAACTTATGTAACTCTGAATCCAGTTTGATCCAAAGAGTTGTCTTTATAAGAGTAACTGACCAAAATGCAATAAAATTATCAAATTGGAAATATGATGTGTATCAATGTATAACATTCTAATGCATTATACTATGAATTCTACTCACAATATTTATTATGCTTTTACAAATATTAAATTAATTGCACTATGCCTTTTGATAGGAAAAAGTGGAATACAACTGGTTTTAGAAGTCAGTTCAGAGTTTAGATATACCATTTTGAGAATTTGCTAATTGAAATATTCAGAAATCTAAAAAAGTACTCCAAGCTGATGTTTGATTAACTAAAAAATATGCCTTGTAGATATTAGTCAATTTGTTTTTCTTGTAATATTGCTTAACAGTTTTGGTATGTATAAGTTATTTTGGGAAGAGAGAAAACGCTGAAAAGTTTCTTTTTTTAATAAACTCCAATTCTCAGGAGAGAGTAGGAAGTACAGTTTGCAGAATATTATAAATTAGTGACTGACTGAAGGGTAATATGGGAATTACACCTTGTTATATTCATGCTGTTGTATTTGAGAAAGTCTGAAGGGTTCAGTGGTTTATAAAACTATAACATGCAGTTGCTGTACAGTAAGTGTATCACATTTCAATTTTTTTACTGTTAATTTTTATGTCTTAAAATTTATTTTAATATTTTTAATTAAAGAATACCAAATAATATACTAGTATTTACTATCCTTTTTCCTTCAGAAAGTAGAGTATACTTTTATAAAGTAGCTGTTCTTTCCATCATTCATTTATAGAAATAATTATCTGAATATCATAAATCATATAATGGTAATCATATTAAAAATTTCATATTAAAATGCTTACAGATATGTTTAAATTTTTCATGTAACATTTGGAAATAAAACTTTCTTTTTCAGTACTACTGCTGGATTCTAAAGCACAACAAACAGAGTTGGAATGGATTTCCTCTCCACCCAATGGGGTACGTACTTTTACTCATAAAATACCATCATTTATTCTTTAAAGTAAGAAACAAAATCTCTCTCTGTTCCCCAGGGGAATTATTCACGTTCTTATATTTAAAGTGTTTTAAATTGAAACATGTTGTTCAGTGTTTTGTTGTGTTATGAGACTTGATTTCTCTCAATAGATAAAACATATTTAGAACTTAGGGAAATGGGGAAAAATATCCCTATAACCAAAGCTTTTGAGTTCTTATTGTGAGTGGAATCATACCTCAGAGTCTAGGCTATAAATACTAGCTAATTACAGGGGACATTCCCTTGACAAACTCACTTAAACCTTTCTTTTTTTGTTGTTGTTGTTGTTGCTTTTTACTTCTGTAATATAATCACCAGATAGGTTGTGTGTAATTCTTTAAAATAGTAAGTAATCTTTTATCCTTTTTAAAAATTAGTTTCACCATCTTTCATAACATACTCTAAAATGTAACTAAAAACGTAATATGTTGAACATTGAGGCATAAGATTTGCTGTAAAAATTATCCATATTTATATCATATGATATCTGCTGTTATTAATCTGTAGTGATGGCAGAATGACATATTACTGTAAAAAGTCTGCTACAGTAAATGTAACAATAAAAATCCATCAGAACAGGAATAAACCTTAAAAATGTTGACATTTTAAATATTTTTAATATATTTAGAAAAAACATTTTTTACATTTTGTTTACTAGCCATGGTTTACTGTCCTAATTCTAATTGTGGGATAGGGCACATTCTTCATCCCTTATTAAGGCAAAGTGCTCTGAGAAAGGAGAACATACAATGTTACTTAAGTTTGCTTCACCACATGAGGAAATCTGGAATCAAAAGAGCTTGAATTCTAAGGATATAAAAACTGTTAGATACTGCAAATAGAAGAATGAAAGTCTGAAAGGGATTTTTTAGTAGAAGAACAATATCATAAAATCAATAAGTCTTGAACTGAAATTTAGTTTTAAGAATGCACAATGTGGACAAATTTAATCTGCCTAAAACATTCAGAGTTTTCATTACATTAATTTTTGAGAGATTGCTTTAGATCATATTTCAGTTATTTTTACTAGTCACAATAAATTATGAAAAAGTGACAAATATTTCATGATTAATATAAAAGTACACTGAGTTTGAGGTATGAATGTAGTACTTTCCTGAAAGTGAAGTGGTTTCCCTGAGTAAAATAATATTCATAATAAAAAAGAAAGATATTAATGATTAAAAATGAAACACATTTCTTTCCAGTAACAGATTTAGTATATTTTCTACCATTCATCAATTAAAACAAAATGAAGATAGAACATAGTTTTCTCCCTGAGGAGAAGTAAACTGTTATATGATTGTAGTATTTCACTCATGTAATGCACAAAATCATAATATGACTTTCAATGTTATCTTGGGCTCAAATGGGCATTTTATCAGTCCAGAGAATCTTGGGCTAATAGTTAAACATATATGGCAGTAAGAATCAACAAATATTATTAGAACATGAGATTGACAATATTTTCCATGTATGACACAGATTGATTCAAATGATTAAATAGAAAAATTGAAAAATATTGTTATTAACACATAAGTTTTGAAAAAAAATATTTTGCAAGTATGCTATAAAAATGCAGTGCCTAAAGTAAGACACCTTTCCCATTTGTGAAATGACTGCAGTTTTAGATTATAAAGCAAGAGTTGCTTTAAATGTATTTATGTAGTCTCTCTATTTGTTACTTACATCACAGTTTTCTTGAAAATTTCTCCTCAGAAATAAAGCAATTTAAATGCAAATTTTAATTAATTGAGCCTCATATGAAATAAAGTTAATTTTTCATGCATATATTAAAAATATTCTTGAGGTAGATACAGGAATTTTTGAAATATATTGCTTCTTAAGTTAGCCTTAGTTTCTGCAAACTGTGGAATTGTCAAAAAGAGTAAACTTATCTTTGAGGATTTTTTTTTTTTTGGTAGATTAACATTACTAATCTTACTTCATTTGATAAATTTAATCTAATCAAGAGACCAAACTCTACTCATCCAAATCTATAAATTTTGTATATTTGGCTTAATGCCAAACAGAGTATAGGCAACTAACTGAAACAAAGAAAAAAATGTGAGTACTGTTAACTACTCAAACAAAATTTGTGCTAAAGAAGGTGCAGTATGAAAATTGGATCTTTACTATATATGAAGACCTTTGGCGATACTAGCCTGCCACAATAAAATTGTAGCTAATATTATAGAACTATTACAAGAAATTTATAGATTATAATGTATTGCTATTTTGTCAGTTCTGTTAATTTCCTAAGAACAGTTTTAAAAGTAGATAATAATATTATATAGAGCAATTAAATTGATACACTAATCATGTTTAACAAATAAAACTCATTATCAAATACTTGTTATATTATTTTCCCATCTTTTCTTGAAATAATAGTTTAAATAGTACATCCTAAGTGATTTTGGACTTGCGTACTATTATAATTTTATACTTGACATGTGTGATTGCAGAAATTAATACAAGTAGGTGCATTTCAGTATTAAGGTATCATAAATGTAAAATAGAAAATTTCCCAATAAGAGTAATAAATAACAGAAACTATTCTTATTCTAGGCTTTTAAGACTATTAGATAAAATGAATTCTTTACTGTTGAGCACTAGGTAATACTATATATGGTTCAACAATCTTTGAAATTGTTACTAAACTGCCTGTTCTTTTTGTTTTTTGGTGAAAACATAATTTTGGTTGGTTTGTAGTATATATTGTATCAGAATATGAATAGACATTTTTAAACTTCTGATGTTTCCTGACAGAAAGCATATTACAAAATGAGGTGCAACTTGCTGATTTGTCATGTCTATTGAAAACAATTTTTATAAAGACGAATCACTTTTGGAACTATTTATTTATGGTTATGTGGCTTTATGTACAATATTAAAACAGTACTTCAATATATAAACAACTCTGTAAAATGCTACTCCCTTATAGCTCATTTTGAAAAGATTGTAATATATCTCACCTTGTAAATAACATGTCATTGAATACGTTTATATTTCACTTCTCTTGGCATTTTTCTCCCCCATGTTTTTAGGTAATTTGTAAGTTGTAATATAATATGGCCACTTAAAATGTCAACTGAGTTTTCAGAAATTCTGCCATGCATCCAAGTGTATATACTTTAAATGGTAATTTAAATAATTGTGAGTCTTAGTCTATAAAAATTGTAATCTCAGTGGAGAATACAGACATAAGCAAACATGCAAAAAGAAATGCTAATATACTAGCAAACAGATATTAAACAAAATGAAATATTTATTGTATGTTCAAACAAAGCAAGCAACATAAGTGATGTTCCAAGCTGAAGTGGAAATCCTTCTTTTCTCTGGTTTGCAGTGTTTGTTGAGATAGGAATCAACATAACACTTTCAATGATCCACATTTGGGATATAGTTCTTCTATGCATTTTGAAAAGCAGCATGTTATCTTTTTGTTGTTGTTGTTCTGAATAACTGATGACCTTTTTTTTTTTTAATTTTTACAGTGGGAAGAAATTAGTGGTTTGGATGAGAATTATACTCCAATAAGAACATACCAGGTGTGCCAGGTCATGGAGCCCAACCAAAACAATTGGCTGCGGACTAACTGGATTTCGAAAGGCAATGCACAAAGGATTTTTGTAGAATTGAAATTCACTCTGAGGGATTGTAACAGTCTTCCTGGAGTACTGGGAACTTGCAAGGAAACCTTTAATTTGTACTATTATGAAACAGACTACGATACTGGCAGGATTATAAGAGAAAACCTCTATGTAAAAATAGACACCATTGCTGCAGATGAAAGTTTTACCCAAGGTGACCTTGGTGAAAGAAAGATGAAACTTAATACTGAGGTGAGAGAGATTGGACCTTTGTCCAAAAAGGGATTCTATCTTGCCTTTCAGGATGTAGGTGCTTGCATAGCTTTGGTTTCGGTCAAAGTATACTACAAGAAGTGCTGGTCCATTATTGAGAACTTAGCTATCTTTCCAGATACAGTGACTGGTTCAGAATTTTCCTCTTTAGTTGAGGTTCGAGGGACATGTGTCAGCAGTGCAGAGGAAGAGGCGGAAAACTCCCCCAGGATGCACTGCAGTGCAGAAGGAGAATGGTTAGTGCCCATTGGAAAATGTATCTGCAAAGCGGGCTACCAGCAAAAAGGGGACATGTGTGAACGTAAGTAATATGTGCTCTTATGATTCTTTGAATTTTTTACTACTTCAGATGTCAAACATTTTAAGTAATAATAATAATCATTCAAATAAATAAATCTGCTCTATATAATCTGTTCAATTCAGTAGATCTGACACAAAGTCACTATCGGACTTAGCAAATGCCTGGTGTGGTATCTGCACTAATGATGTGTTGTAAATATTGGTGACAATGATATTTGTTAAAAAAAAATTAATTTGTCCTGATATGAAACTCAACAGTTTCACTTTTGGCTATGGGGCTTAAGATAGGAGACCAGATAGGTGGACTAGAATTAGGAATATTAATGTGACATTAATAAGGATTTAATGAAATGTGATTTCTCCTGTTTTTAATGAGTGAAAAATAGAAGTTCAACTGGACTGCTAACAAGAGCTCCACAGATAGGCATGGCATAAAATAATATCTTTTCAAACTTTAGAAATGTTTATTATAAATAATATAACTTTGATAAAAACTCATTATTTTTCACTTTATAAGTCTGCATTTACTTCTATCAAAGATGTATTTCTTTACTGGACTAGAAGTTAAAATGAGTGCTCTTCTGAAAGTCATGTTACAATGGGCGACATTTTTGTGAAAGTGAACCAAAGTGAAGTTTTAATTATCTCTGTTTATCAGATGAATGTTCTTTATTTATTTTTAGACAATACTAGCATATAAATTACTAAATCTTTTTCTTTCCTTTGTGAAACAGGCTTTTCTCTTATATAGAATTATGTGGTCAACTGGTCATTATTTTTCATTTTAAAGCAATGCCACGTAAACCTTCCATATTGATATTATTCTACATGTAGGTCCTAAAAAAAACTTATTATAAAATTATATTACTTATATCACATATGACTTATAATATATAATACATCACCAAAATAAATTTTGTATATTTTTATAATCCTATAACAGCAGCCTATGAGGTAGTTTAGAGGGGACTAGAACTAATCATACCTATTATAACTGAATTTGCTTGATAACATTATTTTCAGACAGTGTATTCTGTGCTTTGCATATTAGCTTACTTAATGAGGTAGGTATGATTATCATGTCTATTGTAGAATGTAGAAAGTTTTCTCTAAGAAGGGTTAACTAGCTTGCTTGGCATTATATTAGTAATATTTGCCTTTCCTTACATTCAAAGTTAAGGCATTCTGACTCTAGGGCCTGGGCTTTTAGCAGCAAAATCACTATTGTTTCTAAGAAGATTCCTAGTGAATATTCTTTTTCATTGCTGAAGTCAAATGCCTCACATGTAACAATGTTGTGCCCCATATATCATATAAAAATCATGTTGTTTCCCTATAAATTTTTTTATTTTACTGAAATAACTGAAGAAATAACAATTATAAATGTATTTAAATCTGTGATATCCCAAACAGTCACATATAGCTCTTGGCACTTTGGAAAGTAGCTCCTCTGAATTCTGATGTGTTGTAAATATGAATTACAAACTGGATTTCAAAGGCATACTACAAAACAGGAATATAAGATATGTCATTAGTAATTTTTAAAAAATGTTTACTGCAAGCTTAAGTCATATTTTAGATACATTGAGTTAAATTTAACATAATATCAAAATTAATTTCAACTGTTTCTTTTTATTCTTTTCTTATTTTAGCTACCTGAAATTCAGAAAGGACACACATTGCTCACATTATATTTCTCTAGGAAATATAAAACATTTTTAGATAGAGTAACTGCAAATATATTTTCCATACTGTTTGAAGAGTTAAATCCTTTATTAGGATGGTTGCTAAACATAGAAAGTACTGTGGCTCAGAACTCAGTTATTTTTTGTACTTTATGTGACAATGTAAAGTGAACTCTAAGCAAAGCAAATAGAGATGTTGTAGGTTCAGGTCTCGTAGAACAGCTTAGCAGAATCTTTTCCTACCCCTTGAGGGAGTCAAATCTAATTCTCACTGTCTTATTTCTTGGCCCCTCACTGATAGTATTTTTAATCTAGTGGAAAAATCCTTCAGGTCCTATAGCATATGTAGAAATCAGTATTAGGAGGTAGAATGCTATTGCACAGGGTATGGATAAAAGTATTTCCACTGAACAAATTCTTGCTAGTGTACTAATCATTCAGTGAAAGGTTTATTGACCCATTTGAAGTTACTTGAAAGTGATGGTGGTTTCAAGGGTAATAATTATTTCAAAATTTTAAGAACACTACTACACTTTTGTTGTAAAAGCAGCCAGTTTTAATATTTTGCAGATCTTACTTGATGTGGAAATAGAATTTAAAAGTTTTTCACATTTAAAAAAATGGAAAAATAAGAAAAGAACAGATATACATATAGAAGTACAAAATTAAATTTGCTTAAGAACAGAATAGGAAATAACATCAAAGGTCTTGCTGGTTTAAAATTTAAATGTTATAATGAAAATCATAGTAATTTTTTGTTTCATTTTGTGCAATTTAATTCCAGTGAGTTCTACATTTATTTTCCAAGAAAAAGCAATCAGGAAGTGTGTGAGTTCTATACATTTAAGTAGAAAATTTAATAAGAAAAAGGCTTTAACCACAATAAACAGATATATTTACTATTAAAATAAAAGTTCCCAATTTCTTCCAAATGAGCAAAACCATTTCTTTAAAAGTGGTAGTGTTAAAATTAATTGTTTTAGTTTTAAGCATTGAAAACACTTTTGAATACCAAGATTATTGCAAGTTATATGATGTACCTAAACAAATAAACTAAAATTATTCCACTGCCATCTCCATGAACCCTGCCTTGGAAAAGATGGAATTAGGTATTAATAGTGTCTATTTAAAAAAATGATTAAAGAAGGCAAGATGCCTCCTATGGTCTCTTATATGTAAATTGCTGTAAGTCAGGTAAATTGTTTATGACATAACTTTCTTAATTTTTTAGACGTGGTGATGTTGACAAAGGAATTAAATACCTTAAACTTAACTATGGAACCATGTTCATTTGCAAAAGCACTTCTCTCCCTGGCATAATTCCAGTGCATTGCTGTAAGAGTGCTTGTCTCTGGATTCAATCCAGGCCTGCCTTTATAATATTCCTCCTGTTTCATTTCAATGATTCTGTTAAGAGTTTGAAAACAAATCCAGTACCATATTGAGGAAAACTAATGTTTTGAGAGAGGATGCTGGTGAGTCCCTAGCCAAACAAGGGTGGTTAGTCACTTAAAGGCAAGTTTATCTGGGCACTTACTGATGTGGTAGCCCATTGTATGTTTGATAAGAGGATAATATGAAATATGAGTAAGGATGAAAACTGATAACAATTTTGATCGGTTGGTATGATTTTTGTTTCATGAGCTTGAAAAAATAACTCAGTTTTAAAAGCAAATTATTTCTCAGGTCTTGTAATTCTTAAATATAATGCTTTCATGAGAATACATATTCACAGTAATTTTTAACATATATAGTTCCAGTTAGTAGGCTTTTATTGTCACAATTTATTTTGAAAAATTTACTTTTAAGTTGCAATGTTTATTTAAACTAGCCAATATATTTTCCTAGATTAAAAATGTGATTCTTTAAAAATATAGAGCACATTATTATGTTTTACATATACAAAAAGTTTTGAGAATACTAATAAAATTGTATAATGAAATATATTTTAAAATTTTATAATTTCTGTATCACTTTATTCAACTTAAAAATTAGAAAGGTGTTTTGAGATGTGTGGAGCTCAGGATTATGACTTGGATTTGTGTAAGAAATTCAGTGTATGCTGAACAAACATGTTCATTTTCTCATTTAATCCTTATCACATCATTAAGAGATGGAAAGTTTTATGTTTTTCTCTTTCTTTCAATATATGAAGGAATCAAAGCCCAGAGACATTAATAAGTAATATAATTAGATGAGAATTCAGAATCCTGATTGTCAATTTGTCTTTTTTCCCCACTGTACTATACTGCTACCCTAAAATTTTCTCTGGAGTTTTCCAGTTATATCTTAGTTACTGAACAACTGATGAAACATTATTTTCAGTAGGGTAACTAAATGCCCAATTTGCCTGGAATAATTATTTTACTTGTCATAATTGCTTCTTTTCAATTTTAAATGTGCTTTTTCTGATGAAATGATAAAATATATCATTTAACTATAAAAGTTAAGGATGTAATGTAGTTTCATGCACATATTCCAGAACATAGAAATGTGATTCACTTACCGTATTTATTGCTCAATTTTAAATTTTCTGAAAAGTAAAGTACAGAAATTTCCTTTTTAGTGATTTTATGCATATAGATGAATAATTTTCAGTTTAAGGATTTTACTTGATAGTCACTAATTACTTTCCATTAATAAGTTAGCAGTTCTACAAATATTTTAATGTATAATTATGCACACATTGCATTTATAATTCTATAAATTAAAACCTGCATTCAACCTAATAGCCATAACAATATTTAAAACCTGTTTCTTGATTAGATATTTGGAAAATCATTCTTACTTTTTATAGACAAGCAACATGTAAATTATAACACCAGTTTTTATGATAACAAACAAGTCTTTAATTAAATAACATATACTGAAATGGAAGATAACCACAAGGTGAATGTGAGTTTTTTAAATAGAGTTTTAAAATTCGGTCTCCACAACTTACCAGGTACATAAAGTAGGACAAATTCTCTAAACTTTAATTTCTTTAAGTATAAAATGGGGCTAATAAAAATAGTACCTCCCTCACAGCATTCATGTCAGAATTTAATGAAATAATACATGTTAAAACTCTAAGAATAGTATCTGGGACATAGCAAATAATCAATGAATACCTGCTGTTATCTTATTATTAATAATGCAACAAGGAGTTTGCTAAGTAATCTCATAGTAATGAGTGAATGAGTATGTATCTTATAGACCAGAAATAGTTAAATATCCTTTGAACCAATAATCTGTCTCAGTTATTTTACTTAGGAAGACATTTAAATAATAGAACTTTTGACCTAGGCTTTTTTTCTCTCCAGCAATGTGCATATCT